ATTACGAATAATCGCAGAGGTCAACTCACCCGAAGATGCAATGACCAAGCCTCACTCCGGAGGAACCGTCTCCGTGATCACGTCTAACCTCTGTGCCAGGTAAGTATTTTTAATATGAATGGATGTCGTTAATAGAGGTGTTGGGGTTTAGTGAGCACATAGACTTTGGTTCGAGTAGAGATGCAGTGATTTTTCATTTTGTTCATTTTTATTTTTACCTGATTTATTTTATTTCATTACTTATTTATATTTGGCAAAAACAAATTCATTTGAAAATCTAATTTAATTTTGTATGAGTTTATGCTGGATTCAAGCTGTTGATCAGATCAGTCGGTGCTCAGGGTATCTTCTAGTCGGTTAGCCCCGACAAGAGATTTCTTGCTTGTATTTTATTTTATTTAGTTTTTCTTTTTTTTTCAGCTTTTAAATATAATTTGTTCGTTCAAGGCAACAATTAAAATTATTTATTTACCGGCCGGAAGAATCATTTAGTATTTGCCACACACCAGCCACCCTGCGAGCCAGCGCGCATTGAGTGAGTGCTGAACACTCCAACACTCCAACACTCGAACACTCACACTCACGCATAGCTATTATGCCTTGGCTGCGAGTAACAGTTGCGTGAAGCATTACATGAGGGTTTTTTCGCTACATAAACGACTACTAATTGAAATATTAACACCTGTAAGCGATGGCCATAACGAAGGTGACCCAAACGCAAAATGTCGCCGCAACTAACAAACACGGCCCCGATATCTCGTCCGGGCTGGATGTGTGTGTATGTGTGTGTGCGTGTGTGGGTGCATGTGTGCAATAAAACAAAATGGGCATAACAATTGGCTTACCACGATATGAGACCTCAAAAACATAAACAACCGCAAATGTTGCGTCAAGAACACGCAAGCCAGGGACTACAAATAATATAAGAGCGAGCGGAACACGGTGTTCGTGCGGCAGCCGTCGCTACATTTCCAAATTGCGCTCTACCCATTGCCACAATAAGTTATAAAATTGAAAATTGTTCTCGGTGCGGCGAGGCGCACTTTCTCGATGTTCGCCTAAACTGGAGATTACATAAAATGCACACACACACAGACACACACATATATATATATACGTCCCATTTTAGAAAAAACAAATGTAAAGCTTTGCTAGTTCTGTTTACTCAACGCTCGGCTAAACACATTTCGATAAATAGCCAGCGCCAAGAGTCTGCCGAGCGAAATGTCAGTTTTGTTTTACTTTTCCTTCCCTCTCCTAGCTCTGGGCAAAAACAGAAAAAAATTAGAAAACAGTTTCACGTGCAATGTCCTTTCAGCTCTTAGCCTGTGTTGTATTGGGAATATGTATATACATATACATATATGTATGTACATATGTTTATCCTCTACCCTTTTCCTTGGATTCAGAACTTTAAACCAAAGTGGTTTCATGGTATAAAGATATATAAGCCACATAACACTAAATATTTTACCAACATACAAATGCCCCAATTATAGCTAAAGTCAAATATTAAAAAAAAGAAAACTGCTAAATGGTCAAGCTAGATACATATGTATGCACCTCACATTCATAGATCATTACACTAATACAATAAATTAATAAAGTTTGGCTACGATATAACAATTAAGCTAACAATACTTATATTTATATGTACATATATGTATCTCTAAACTGAATTGATTGGTAAATTGATTGATTGATTGGTGATCGAGCAAAATTAAACCCACATACCTAACTGCGTTTAACTCTTCCCTATAAGTTGGTGTCACTAAATGGTATTCATATATTACATTCCACTTTAAATTACCATTACTCGTAATCGTTTGATCACTAGTCTGCGATCTAAATAGGATATCGATATCGATAACTGGTTAATATTCAGAAGCGCATCAATCAATTGTTCAACGAGTAGGCTCTTGGCACCGCCAATTAGACAGGAACATTATGGAATTTAGGAAAATTCCTACAAACCGATCGACTATGGGGACACACGAAAACCCCTTTTACACTGTACTTAAATAAGAAGCTTCGTTCTTCAGAGCAACAAGATATGTCGTACCGTTAATATTATTCGCGCCTTCCTCTATAACTAAGCATAATATCGAGTTCCCGGTGTCTCGTCTAACAGTCTTAATACTTTTCTGACTTGTTCTCAACTTATTTTTGGTTGTATTTTCTTGATTATCGAAAGCACTGCAACCCTATGCTCTCACTCGACAACACCAAGAACCACGTTTAGCAACAGATATGGTTCTTTCTCCGGTAGTGAGAGTGCATGCTTTAATTGGCACTTGAATGGAACTCACTCGCATAGTACGAGCTAATTGTTTCTACAACAAACAATCACTTCTAGGTAGCACAACGTCATATCACACCGATGCGACATACATATGTAAGCAGATACATATATCTCAGTCATCACAGTTGAAAATAAAATTCTTTTTACTTCAACTCAAATTAGAGCAATAATAGGGGACTTCATTTGAGTTCTAGTTTTTTTGGTAATATTTTAGTATATTTGCTTCGCTGCGTCAGTGTAGAATGTAAATTGAAATTTACATAAATAAATTGAAATTTATATGAAAAATAAAATATGAAAGATCACACTA